TCCATGCTGCTGGGATGCATAAATTGGCAACCAGATCGGTATCCACCAATATGGCTGGTTAATAATTGGTCATTTGTATTGACCCATAAAATCTTTAATCAGTGCACCCCTACTTACTAACTCACGTTACAGTAATCCAACATGGGAAACCCAATGGGTTAAAAAAAAAAAAAAAAAAAAAAAAACCCCAAAAAAGGTGCTTAAAAAGAAAATAAAAGGCTGAAATATTTTTGGCAAGACACATTCTAGGTATCCTTGGAAAACTGAGCAAGATAAAAGTTGGGAAGAGCTGATGTTAGCAGTCAATACCCATAACCCACACCAGCCTGCTACAATCATCTCAAGTTTATCTATGCTGTAGGTCTTATCCAAAAATTTTAAAAATGGCACAAAATAAAAATTTAACACACCTTAAATTCTTGTATGTTTCATGGTTTGGAAATTTGGTATCTGGAAGGCAACTCAGGAACTGAATGAAACTTGGGGTAGATAAAATATTCAGCAAGAAGACAAAGACAGTACACGGCAAACCAGCACCAAGGGCTATTCAGATGCATAGTGACCATTCCCATCATATACCTGTCATTTACCTTTCAATATTTTAGGGGGAGAAGCAAAAAAGTGGTGGCCTAGAACTAGAGGCATCTTTGACGAAAGGAAGTCATGCATGGGAAGAGTTAATTTAAGTGACAGGGTCTACCCAAAGACATTGGGGTCAGACTCAATGACCTACTAAGGTCCCTTCTGACCCTAACATCTATGAATCTATTAGTGAATTTTGCTGTGATCTAGAAACCAAGAGCTTAACATTTATTCTGTAAAAGCAGGACAACAGGGGAAGAATCAAAATAGGGATTTACTAGCTGTTACAGACCCAAGGCAAGTATATGCAGGGTCGTGATTCAATGTCCTGGAGTGCAATCTGAGTTCACCTGGAACAAGGTCATTGCACAGGGAAGATCATAATTTACTAAGCGTTAGCTTTTGAATATTTGTAAGCTTATTATTCATGTGAGCCTTTCTGCTACAGAGACTTCTGCTAGACACCAGAGGAAATACTTGAGAGAGAGAGAGAGAGAGAGAGAGAGAGAGAGAGAGAGATCACAACTTTGCATCAAAAAAAAAATAATAATAATAATAATAATAATGCTACTACTACACCTGGATGTAAGAAACTGCTATTTTTAACTAAAAAAAATAAAGTGCTGACACCCAATCAACCAAAATATATTTGAAACCATTTTAAGAGATGCTAGACCTGCTTACAAAACAATGTTAATTCTTCTAAATAAGTGAGTTTGTCACGCTTTAAAAATGGATTCTGATTCAACATTAACATATGGAATTTAGGGCCTTGGAAACCCTCCAACAATCAACACTTTTGAAATTATTTTGTCCTATTTCAGAAGTACAGCTTATCTTATTTTTTTTCCAACTACTTAAGTTGGTCTAATAAAAGATATCAGATTCACCCAAAGAACCTTGTCAGCTTATCTGAAGTACTTTGCATCTGTCTCCAACTTAGTTTGTGATATTTCCAGTGTTTGCTCCCAGTTTCATTGTAAGGTGGCAGGAAGTGGTGAAACCTAAAGCAACCTCCATCTATCTGTGAAATTACTTTAGCGTTTGCAGAGGCACCATGGGATACCACAGCAAATCCTACTATTGCTCCTGGATCCAAACCAATATCATTGCAGCTGCATTCTCTCCCCGCCCAGGAACAATCAATTAATTATTCTTCACAAATACCAATATTAATTCCAACACATTTTCTACTACGCTAAATTTACTTCCTACCTCAAAGAAGCCTTACAATTATGAGTCCACACTCAGGCACCCAGATCATATTAGCTATGAACGGTGTAGCGCATCTTATATAACTTTGAAGAGCATGCAACTTTGTGAGAGGAACTAACAGGCATTATTCTGCCAATGCTATAATAATCCCTTTTGTAATATTCTGCATTTTTTTTAGAAAAGTGTATTGGCCTTTAAAATACCACTACCCTCATCAATATGGTGACAGAGACAGGGTTTATGAATCCCTGAATATCAGTTTCACTCTAAAAATATGAAGGCAAGTTTAGCACATGTATCCAAGACAATCACATTTTTTAAAGCACGAAGAATATGAATAAGTTTACTTCCTCACAGATATCCATTTTGCCCCCCCCCCAAATTTTTTTTTTTTCTTTTTCACAAAACAAATTTTCCAAAGTTCTGCTTTAAAAAGTCACCTTGCAGATTAGCATTTAGGAAAGCATGAACATCCCTTTTTCGATCCAGCTGTTTCTTCAAGGTCATGAGCCCAGACCATCTGGATGATAAAATTACCTATTGTAATATCTTACTCACCTAATTAAAAAGCTTCTGCCCAGTCCTTATGTAAATTGCCTTCAACTCAAAACAGATAAAGTGTAAAATATCAGCTCTGATAAGACTGATATCTGGCAAATACTCAATATACAGAAGCCTCTCCGTTTCTGTTATCAGGTGCTGGTGGGCATTCCTCTACGCTTTAAGCAAGGTTTTTTCCAGACTGACTTCTGGGGCAAAATCCAGTCTCTGCTGAAGCCTATGGGAGGTGGGTCTTCAGCAGGGCCAAGATTTCAGTTTCCATGTTTAAAAGTTTCCAGGTTCTAGATGAACAGGATTACATAACTAAAGTGACAGACAGCTGAATTGGGTTCTGGCTACTTCTATAAGTAAGAAAGCAAAAAACACCAAAAAACCAACCCATACATTCTCCACTTCCATGCATAATTAGGCAGCTTGCAAAGCAACACCTCACCTAGATGGAGACGGAGCAAACACCAAGTTGGTTTGCTCCCATGTGCAAATCAGGCACCAGGGAATAGCATATAGGACTTCAGTCACCCCTGCCTTGGCAAGGCCTGGTACTCTTCTGCTCCATGCTTTGAGACACCACGCAACATCCTGCTGGAGGAATGCAAAATGCTTCCCGGACTTCAAGCCTTGTAACACTTCCTGCTATTACCTTTCCTAAGGCTGCCGACTGCCATTTGAGCCAATGAAAAGAATGGTATGGTAACAGGACCGGAGTCCTACCTCTTTCGGTCTGCAGTATTTTCCCTTTTAAAAAAATAGCGAGGCTTTGCTGACTTCAGACTAATGTGGCCAACTCCCTTTCTTGGCTTAACCTAGGTTCATCCTGGCATCTCTGCAGGACACCTGGCATTCCTCGTACCCCTCTTCGCAGTGCAAATAGCCAGGCAGAACTAATCCTTACCATTCCCAGTCTATAAAATAACCAAACACTGGCTTCCACCTGCCATTTTTCTTACCTACATCCTCTTTTACCTGTCATATTATAACATGTTTGTTTACTTGCACACATGTGCATACATATGTATCTATATGGACTGCTCTCATGTGGGAAGGTAGCTACAAAACAGACAAAAATATAGCATGTTACTGATACTGCTAGGACTCTAGCAGTCCCATATCCAACAGCACCCGACTACTAACGTTCTTCCAGCAGTTAAACACTTAAGATAGAAATAAGGTAATACATTGCTATAATTCTCCCCAAAATTGTTGTACACGCACAATTCATACCACGGATGAGGGAACCCCTTCACTGCACCCCCCCCCACAAAAAATTCCACATACATTTTAGGAAAATCTTTCTTTAAGTCAGGCATTACAGTAAGGTTTAAATGACACAGTTTATACCCAGTCAGGTTTGCATAACTATGTTGCAGTATTTCAGAAAAGCTAATAAGTTTCTTCAAATTGCTGGTTGGAAGACAAGCTGTTTTTCTTCAGTTTAACTTCCATGTGAGACACTGGTAGAGAAACAAAAATGGATCCCAAAAATCACTACCATTTTTCTCTTGTCCCTTTTTAAAAAAAAACAAACCATACATTTCCAAACGTACTTGATTTTTTGCATAAGTGCTCCATTTTTGCTAATTCTTGCATCTTGGATGCCCAGCGTCACTATAATCCATAGATAGCATCCATCAACAAGACAACCTAAACTATATTCATGTGGCATCTTAAAGTGTGCATGGTCGGCTTATTTTAGACCCACACAACTTTTTAAAACAAATCTGAAGATGCAGTTAATATACAACCATGGCAGCAATATACAACACGCTAAACGAGCCTATTGTAAAGTAGCTCAATTGTATTAGCAAGTTAGTCTTTGCAGATTGACTCAAGATAGCTGCTAACCTTCACGCTGTAATAAAGCCCAATGAAACAAGAAAAATCTCTTGCAGTTGCATGTAACAGATCAAACAAATTAAAAGCATGCAACTTTTTACTGTTAGCAAAGTTTTGCTTTGATATAGCATTGTTCCCCAACCTTTACAAACATGCTCTTTTAACAAAACATTTCATTGCCGTCTTCCTTATTAGACTTACCCTGCATGTGTGAAATTTAGACAACTTCTATTCAATACAGTCTTTCCACAAAATTAGCAAGCTACATATCCTTTGGTAGAAAGACACTAACAAGCTTCTACAGTTTCTAGAACAAGGAACCTAAAGCTACTAATACCAAACAAATCATTTGAGCAAAAGGATTACAATGACTAGATGCAAAAAGCTGGAAACTCACTTGTATTGCAGATTAAGCCTGTATAAGGAGGTCTTTTGTAATGGGTTTCCACACAGTTTAAAAAAAAAAAATGCAGTGGAAGATTAGTTTGAAATACTTTTGAATCACGATATTTGAACACATGAAAAATAAGGGGGGGGAAGGATTCAAAAAAAGGGGAGGGGAGGGAAGTGTACGCATTTTGCAAACGAAGCTTTCTTCTGAACTCAAAACTTAAAACTCCCATTCTTCCTTGGTCCCAATACATTGAATTCAAACTGAAAATGAAGCCAAACCTGCAGCTTATTTGCTAAAAATTGGCAAAAGTGTCAGTAACTAGGTCACCAGCACATGAAGCACATTTAGACGAGTACAAGAGACGATAAAACAGAAGAGAGAGTCAGAAGTCCAGAGAAACATCCCCCCTACATACCTTGAGTACTTCCATTGGTACCTGAGTCGCTGGGGGCAGGCTACTGGGCACGCTGACGTTGATGGCTGGTGTCTGGCTGACTGGGACTCTCTGTTGCATGAACTGGGCTGCTTGCTGCTTCTGCTGCTGCTCTCGGCGCCCTTGGC